ACCAAAACCCCTTTCTCTTATTTCTCGTCTTCCGATTCCATTTTAGTTTCTAATGGAGTGTGTGTGTGTGTGTGTGTGTGTGTGTGTGTGTGTAAGAGGGAGAGAGAGGGAGAAAAAGAGAGGGCGAGAGGGGGGAAAGAAACAGGGGGTGAGGGAAAGAAGAGAGAGATGGAGATCCCTTTAAACAAAAGACAAGAGGCCTGAGCTGGGGTCTGGAGCTGTCCCCGGAGCCTGCTCTGTCCCGCAGACCCTGCGGTCTCCAGGCCCGGTAGGCATTTTTGGGTTCCGCAGACCTGGCCGAACCGGCCCGATTCCGCGTTCCAAGCGTCTGGAGAACTGGAGACAAAGCCCAAGATCTAATCCCACCGCAGCGCGGCTCGAGCCGTTGTCCTGGACCCGCAGGCCTAGGCGCGACCCCCCGCGGCCTGTGACCGAAGAGGGGAGCCGGGGCTCCCTCCGCTTCCCCGTTGCCCTCTCGGCCGGGGTCCCCCCGGCGCGCCCAGTTCCCCCTGCCGCACTCAACCAGCTGCTTTTGGGGGCCTGCGAGTTCCAAACACGCCTTCCCATTAATTAAAACCTGGAAAGCCTGACCACTTTCTTCCCAGGCCGAGGCAGCATCTCCAGAGGTCCCCGAGGCACTCTCGGCCGGCGACGGCTCCCGCGCGGGACCTTGGAGGCCGAGCGGCCATTTACTGCCCTGTGATTGCGCCGAGGACCAGGTTAGCTCATAAAGCCTTTCACACTCAACAATGGGGATTTTCTCAACAATTAACAAGAAACAACATAATAAAGCCATTTACAAAGACCTTGCTATTTACTATAAATTAGGCACTCTTTAAGAGACCAGTGCGTAATTTCACACACTTTACAACTGGGGCTGCATTTTAAACACCCGGGAAAACAAGCTTGTTGCACTTTCCTGTGACCTAGCTGCGGTGCACCTCTGTTTCCCCTCTTCCCCAGTAGCAGCTTTGTTTGCATTGCTGCACTCCAACCTCCCCAACCGAGGGTGGCTTTCCAGGTCAGTGTCTCACGTTTCCCGTTTCTAGGCCATCATTCCCCTTGCAGATGCACGGAGAGGTACCCAGGGACGGGAACCACGCGCCAAACCCAGCCAGCCGGGCCTCATCCCATTTCTCCCACTGTGGGAGTTGCGCCCGGCCCTGCCTGCCCCCCCCGCGCCCTCCCCACCACCCAGGGCCTCTGGTCTTGGGCCACTTCCCAGAAGGCGTTCGCGGCCACGCTGGCCCAGGGGAAAGCCGCAACCCTTTGCCACTGGCGATCCACACGCGCCTTTTGGAGGCCTTGGCCAGCCCTCCTCCCAATGCGAAGAACTGGGCCCCATTTGCCTGGGGAGCGGAGATGAGGCCTAGGCGAGAAGGTGAGAAACGGCGAGGCTGCGTGTGCGTGTGCCAGGGTGGGCGATGACTTCGGGACACACAAAAGGAGCGCCAAGTGAGGGGAGGCGTTCCAGGCCCCGAGGGCCGGCCCCCGCGCGCCCTGCGGCCCCCCGCTCCCGCCGGGCCTGGTCCCAAGGCCGACTGGCCTAGAGGCTGCGCGGGAGGTGCCGCGGCGCGGGCCCTGTCGCCCGCCCCGGGGGTCGACATCGTCACCCATTTAGAGGACAGCAAGATCTGGGCGGGAAGACAAAAGTCACAAAGAAATTTGTTTGCCACCATGCAAAATGGCGGCACTTAAACATCTTTCTTGTGGTGGTGGCCCTGGCCAGAGAGCCCGGAGCTGCCCTAGGTTTAGCGCGGTGCGTCCTAGAGCTCGGCGGCCGGGGGCAAGCGAGGGGTAAAGGGACCCCGAAACCCCCACGGCCCCCAAGCCGGCCCTTAGCCCGCAGCCCATCGCGCGATCAGCCGGCCCCTGCCTTCCCTCCCAGCTCGCCAGGCCCCAAGCCAGCGCCAGCAGCCCCCGGCCACTGACCGCTGTTTACAAACACAGCCTGAGGGCGGGGTGGGCCGGCCGGAGCGCGGGCTGGCGGGGTGGGGGCGGCCGCGCGCCCGGGAGGACGCCACCAGCAGAGAGGAACGAGGAGTTGGTGCGAGCGAGCGGGCCCGGCAGCTGGAAAGGACTGAACGCCTTGTTTTTGAAACTGTCAATTCCCTCAACCCCTATTGTGAGGGCTTCATGCAAAACATCTCAGGCCTTTTAAAGTAGGAGCTTGTGAGGCCGCCACAGTTTGAAAAGGAGCGAGAGAAGAGCGGGGGCCCAGGGCATGGGCGAAGAATGATAGCTGAGTCCCCCTAAGCCCTCCCCACCTACTCTGTGTTTTTTTTTTTTCTTTTTTGCAAAGGAGGGCCTGCCAAACAGGTAAAATACAGCCCTCCCCCACCTCCTAGATCTGCCCTACGTCCCCATCCCCCAGGCTAGTTTGCAAAATGCCCTTTGGCCTAGGGAGCAAACCAAAACCAAAGCTAGCATCAAAAATAGTTCTTCCTTACAGGGAAGGGGAAAATCCTGGAATGACTGGGGTGACCGGGTGGACTCGCTAAGGTGGATGCCCTGTTCCTCCTTGCCAATTTCCTGAGGTTAGTTGATGGGAAGCATTTTTTTTTTTCCCTTCCTAGTTTGGCTTTGGGAACTCCTTCTTTTTACATCCTTCCCAGCAGGAAGTTATTTTTAAGGTGAAGCAAAACTCACCACATTTTCTTTATTTTTTTAGATGCTAATGCTTTATTTAAAAAAAAAAAAAAAAAAAAAAACTTTACCATGAAGGATTTTTGTTTTTGTTTCTGAAAGAAAAAAAAAATGCTTTTGAGGAATTAGTTTCTACATCTCTTCCTGCATGCAAACAAAACTGTCATTCTCATATCAGCAGAAACTCCCAGTTTTTGTTGATTAGAACTTTGAGGAATTTCTAGACCATTGAAAGTCACCCAGACACACAAAAGATAAAAATCCAACACCAGCCCCATGTAGTTTGTGTTATTGTTGTTTAGTGGTGGCTCCTTGTTGATTTTCAAGTAAGCAACCATTATTGAGATTACTCCACTGTAATCAAGTAAGCCAGCAGAAAAGAACACCCACTTTAAAAAGTAAATAGTTGAAAAAGACCAAGCTGCATTTTCTATAAAGGCGGATAACCTAACTGTGGAAGACAGAGTACACATATCTCTTAAAAAAATTTAAATTTTCATTTCACAGTCTTACCAGGAAATTACTTTTATAGGAGACCAAAAATAAGTTTGTTAACCCAAAAAGTTAGAAAAAAAGCCTTTTCCTGCTTTTTTCCCTCATGTCTCTGAATGTTGGACTTGACTTTAGACACAGGAATCAGTCACCCTGGAGCCATATAGTGCTTGTTTTTTTGTTTGTTTTTAATTCTATGCCCTGAAAACATCTAAATGTAAAAATGTAATCTATCAATGGAGTTAACTTGTTTTTCTCTCAATAAGGCTTAACTTTCTGAACAAATGGGACATTTATAGCAGCTTAGAAAAGTCTAGATATTGTCATTAATCATAAAACAACCAAAATAATATAAACAGTACTGAGAATAATTCCCACATCAGAATGGGGAAACAACTAAGGGGCTAGCAGGAATTGAAAGAATACCTTGTATTTGCAAGTTACTGCATACTATTTGGTACTCTTTCCTTACGGAAGCACTAACTCAGGTTTTGCTGTGGTTGGCTGGCTTATAGTAGTACTGTGGGGTGAAATTTGTGTTGACTATTTAATTTCTTTCCTTTTGATGGTATCACCCCGGAAAGCCTCGGCCTCCATGCTGTTCATTCTCCAGCTCCTATAAACTGAAACTATTGATTCTATGAGGGTTACAGACTAAGTGTCAAAGCTGCAGGCCAATATTTTATGTCAGAAATTCCATAGGGTATATTTGTTTTAAATTGTGCTTATTCCATCTTACAGTCCTTCCACACCCAAGATCTGTAGACTTCAAATATATTCTCGCTTTATAATTTAGGAACAATGAGTCCTTAGCCAACTAGAGAAGTACTAGTGTACATGTAGTAGTCACCGTACTTTGAACTTTCTTAACTTAGAAGTAATTAAAGAGTAGAAATTACACACTTCCAATGTGTGTGTCACACTTTTTACCAGATTGATTTTTCAGGACAACTTACTGCACCTAAATTCTGTATTGCCTTCCAAAGAGAAAAGAACTCAGACTATAAAGCCAATTGTTTAGCTTTCTGGGGCTTTAACTATAACATGGACTGGTCTTTGGAATTATATACAAACAAGAATTCAAGGATACCATCCCCAAATTTTTACTTTGACCATATCTACCATTCCAATAAAAAATAATCCAGTGAATCTACACCTGGCATGGCAACATTCAAGAAGGAAAGAAAGGAAGGCAGTTGAAAGCATCTGTTTACTCCATCCAAATATATTTGGATGCAGGTATTCTCAGCCTCAGTCCTTTACAATAAGAGGAAAACCACACAGCATATTCAGCAATTAGGGGCTGAGACCATCCAGATCTATCTGAAACATTTATAGACAAAAGGAAAATTTCAAAGGGAATAGGAACTAAAAGGTTAAGGAAAAACAAAAACAATAGACTGAATTTCCATGAGAAATAGTGACTTAAATTCACACAGTAAACATTTCATTGGTGTTTTGTTTTGTTTTGTGATTTATGATCTATAGATGCAACTTCTTAGATTCAAGATAGCAAGGATCTGAGATACATAAGTTGTCAGACTAAAGGAGGTGGGCCAGAAATTATTAGATTCAACTTTCATTAAAACAATCACTGATCTCTGCTTCACTTTCTTAAGCCTGAAACTTTTCCTACTTGATTTGTAACAAGTTTGTAAAGGTTTGTTGTTACTTAGAAAGAAATCCACCAGTGTTTTGCACAGAACCTGACTGGCCTCGGTCACATAATATTACAACAAAACACTACACCCAATAAATGCATTTCTTTCAGGTAAAAACATTACAAGTGAAAATGTCAACAAAACCATTCAATCCTGTTAACTGTTCTTCAATCTGGAATAAGTAGAAATGTATGGAACCAGGAATTTTAAACAGTGTTTTTAATTGAAAATAAAGCTAAAGCATGCTTTTCAACAGTGCAAATTTCCATAATTTTGATTTACTGCTTCCATCATCACAACACAGTACACCAGCATGGCCCTTATCCAGGGCTAGACCCTAGCATTTGCATGTTGAACTACTTTGATTTTAAGTGCAAATATAGATAGTCACCTCTGATTGTCACTTGCAGTAGAAACTCTCCTGCTCTATACACAGGATGGTCTGAAAACAGAAGTTCTAGAGAGATGCAGAAAAAATATAAGGTAATAAAATCCAAGTGCCTGAGTTCTGGTACCAAAAAGCCCTGAAAAAACTGTTATTTTTCATTTGGGGTATTGCAACTCTGACCTCTCATTTTCTTTTTCTTGGTTGTATTTACTGATTTGTCACTATCAAGAGTTCAACCATAAAATATTCTGCTATTAAGAGAAATATTTCAGCCCCGGCATGGTGGATCACACCTGTAATCCCAGCACTTTGGGAGGCCGAGGCAGGCGGATCACCTGAGGTCAAGAGTTCGGGACCAGCCTGGTCAACATGGTGAAACCCTGCCTCTACTAAAAATACAAAAATTAGCCGGACATGGTGGCGCGCACCTGTAATCCCAGCTACTCAGGAGGCTGAGGCAGGAGAATCATTTGAACCTGGGAGGTGGAGGTTGCAATGAGCTGAGATTGTGCCACTACACTCCTGCCTGGGCGACATAGCAAGACTCTCTCCTAAAAAAAAACAAACCAAAAAAACCATATATATATATTTCAATTGTTTTGGGAGTTTGAAGAGTCATGTTCAGACCACAAGATAAGTAGGACTATAGTAAGAGTCACCTTATTTAAAACCTTTGGGTGAGAACACAAAACGGACTTTTCCAATTGCAAGGAGTGGCTTTAAAAGTAAAATCACACCCTTTACAAAAAAAATACAATTCCATATTTATTTTACTCAGTATGTATGAGGCAGCTTTTACTAGCATTTAATCAGGACTCACACCCCAATCTTTCCACTAAAAAAAAAAGTTAAGTGCAACTACTCTTGAAGAGAGAATGAGGGGAGTCAAAAGAAAAAGATACCCCACAAACAAGAGCTCCAGAAAATAACATTTTGGGCTCACAGAAACTTCTTGCTACCTCACCTCACCTCACTGTGTAACCATGTAACCTAACAAACTTTCACTGAATTAACAGTTACACTTTCAGCTCTGAAATCTAGTGCATAAACTTAATGGCTCATTGTAATATTTATTATTCAACCTTTTGACATTTATTTGTAGCAGTTGAATTGAGGTACCGGGTGCATTATTAGCATTGAAACAGTAAAGTGTTCCAGCTCTACGGTAATAACTGAGTTTTACTTGAGTCTTTAGCCTGAAGTAGTCTGTGGAATGTAAACCAACCCTTCTCCCACCCCACCCCCACCCTACTCCTGAGACAGAAAACCATTAAAACAAAAACAAAACCCACAACGGAAAAAAAGTAATCCGATTTCTGTCTTCAAAATGCGATAAACCAGGACTCCAAAGGGGGTGTAACACATTAACGGACTTGTACAAACCATCCTGTGCAGTTTACAACAAAAGGAAGGTAATATGCTTCAAGAAAATATCTTCCAAAACATTTTTATGAATTAAATTTCCTGAATTTGTGACTAGGTGGAAGAGGTATTGCAGAACCGCCCAGCTGCCATTTCCATATAGGATGGGCCTTGTGAGGAGTTTGAGAATCCTTAGTGGTGTTTAAGGAATACGCCGGCCACAAGTCCCCATCTCTCCCAATAATGAGTGATGGTGGACAAGGAAAATTTGCCATGAAATTAAATGGCCTTTTCACTGCTGATGCTACATTGCTGGCTACCTTTTTGCGTCTGTTTATAACTGTAAAATCATCCAGTGTTCCTTCATGTGTCTCAGTTTTACCTGTAGGACGAGGGCTTCTAGCTGATTTCAAATTTGGTTTGACTGGAGGTGTCTGAAGGACAGGTCGCTTTCCCAGTACTAGTGTCCGGTAATTTTTTCTTACCCTGGCACCAAATTTATATTCCCCATCCTCAGGTTTTGGAGAACCTAAAGTGCATGAAAGGCCCTGACTTTGAGCCAGTGGATTTAAGGAAGGAGTATCTTTTTCAGGGCATGCAAAACCTTCCTTGGCTGTGGTTAACAAGGCGTCCTCCTCTTTACTCTCAGTCACACTGTAAAACTCACCCTTTGTATCATTGCACTCGCACTTTAGCTTATTTGTAAAAAGGTGAGGTTCATATTCTTCATTAGCACTACTGTCTTCTACTTTGATTTTAATATTGTGCAGAAATGGCAATGTCTTGTCACCTGTGTCAGTGCAGGGATTCTCGGCTTTAGTTGCTGCTGCTCCTGCAGCGTTCACTTCAGGATCAGTCTGCGAAGAGGGCAAATCCGTAGCAAATTCAGGACAATGAAGGATTTTGGAATCTTTTTCTGAATTTGCTTCTGCTTCTGAAGAATCATTATTTAAGAACCTAGCAGCTATTGTGTTGTTATCTGCACAGTGTGTAGTAGGAGTTGCTTGTAGGCATTTCCTAGCCTCCCGGAGTATTCTTTGTTGTGGAAATGCATTGTTTGTCTTTGGGCTAGGTGAAGAGGCCCCCTCTGCCAGGCAGTTAATTGTCAGGTCAGTTCTCTTTACAGTATTAGAAATTTCAGAGTGTGGGAATGTAATCTCAGATACCCTATCGTTCCTTATCTCTGCGAAACAACTCCCCAGGCTGGCCGGGCAGTACACCGGAGACGCTTTGGGGGCCCAGCTCTGCAGATTCCACTCCTCCGGCGACTCCGCTTTGACACTACTCTTGAGGTCGGGAAGTCTGCCGGCATCCTCGAAAGCAGCGGGTTTGGTTGCAGCGGCGGCGGAGGCCAGATGGTACAAGAAGTTGGCCTGCGCCTGCACGCTGGGAGGCTTGCAGAAGCTTGTACGCCTGAATCGGATGCTCTGCACTGACACTTGGCTGGAGCCGGAGCTGGAGTCCGACTCGGTGGACGAGTCCTCCTCCTCCGAGCTGACTTCACTGGAATCCGAGGCCCCGCTGCCCCCCTCCTCCTCCTCCTCCTCTTCCTCCTCCTCCTCCTCTCCCTCCTCCTCCTCTTCCTCCGAGGACACAGAGTTGCTGGAACTGGACAAACTGGAGCCAAAATCCGAGTCGTTGGCCGCGTGGTCCGAGTAGGAGCTGGACTCGGAGTCGCTGCTGCAACTCTCGGGAAAGCTGCCCAGATGGGGCTGCGGCCGGTGGTGGTGAGGGGGGTGGTGACTCTGCTGCGGCGGCTGGGCCCGGTGGTGGTGGTGGTGGTGGTGATGGTGGTGGTGGTGGTGGTGGTGCGGAGGCGGGCAGAAACCGTTGACCAGATGAAACCTCTCCAGGCAAGTGGCCCCGGCGGCAGCCGCAGCCGCCGCCGCCGCCGCCGCCGCCGCCGCCGCGGCCGCCTTGGCTTTGTAGGACCTGGGCAGCAGCAGCAGGCGCCGCGCGCCGGCGTGGGGCGCGAGCAAGCAGTCCTTGGTGCCGCCGCGCTTGCGTTTGCAGCGGTAGCTCAGGCTTCCCGGGCCTCTGGCGCCCGCCGCTGCCTTGGGCTGGGGCCCGGCCGCGGATGCCTGGTAATAGGCGGCAGCGGCGGCGGCGGCGGCAGCGGCGGCGGCGGCGGCGGCGGCGGCGGCGGCCGGGTGCTTGCTGCACAGCAGGCTCCGAAAATAAGCCGGGTCCGAGGGGAAGGCGACGTAGTTTCCCTGGAGCGGGGCAGTTTCATAGTTTAGAGGGGGTTTGCAGGGCGAACGCACGATCTCCGGGTAGTGCGAGCCGGGGTATTTGCTAAAAATCTGAGGTAGATGGGCGGCGGGGCGCGCGGCGGCGGCGCCCGGGCGCGGGGACTGCGCGCTGATTGGCAGGGGCCGCGCGGCTCCGCTCAGGCCCCGCCAAAGTTGGTGCTTGTCCTTCCAAAATCCCGGGCGGGGGCTGGCGGCGGCGGCGCGCTCTGGCGGCGGCGCCTTTGTGGCCAGGGCCCGGCCGACCCGCCTGCGCTTGGTCTTGAGGACCCGCTCGGTTTTGCAGGAGGTGTAGAGCGCTTCCACGTCTTCTCGGGAGATGAGTGTGCATTTGGCTGCGTGGAAGGCGATGCTGTTGATTGCCTTGAGTTTCCGCAACTCCTCCAGATCGCAGTGGTGCTTCTTCACTTTCAGATGATCCATGCGCTTGTGCACGGTCGTCCTCGGGATGTTTTTCAGCAGATCTGTGAAGACTTGGGAGAGGGCAAACATTTGCTTCCCTTTAATGATGAGGTAGCCGAGCCTCACGCCATCCACCTCTTCAAAACCTGACTTCAGGTCTCCCATCTCGGGCACTAAATGATCCCCACCATTTGCAGTAAATATATACGTGACGCATACATACACATGTATGTATGTTAATCCTCCGCCAGATGCTGCGTGTGTCTCAAGGCATCCTGCTAATAAAATAACAAAGACTGTTATTCCCGGCGAAGGAAGTGCCAAACTCTAGGCGAAATTATTGGGGGGGGGGGGAAACCCCATGAAATTACACTGACTTGATTCTTGCTTTTTTGTTGTTGTTGTTTTCGTTTTTTTAAAAAAGAGGGAAAAAACCATCCGGTTTCTGATCTGCCAGTGTGTTGGTCTGAGTCCCCGATGCAGATCAGTACCTGGGCCCCTCTATTCCTTCCTTCTCCATTGGAGCACTATGATAATGGAATGTGAAGGGAGAAAGAGAAAAGAAATGCAGCTGCTATTCCCGCCGCTGCTTTAGCTACAAATAAAATGACAGAGTGAAGTGAGCTCGTCCGGAGACACCTTCATCAATTAATTCCCCTAAAGCCAGCGCTGATTGGACACTCCTGACAGGTGATGCAATAAAAATTGATATTCCACCCCTTCCCCCCAAAATCTCCCACTAATTAGCATACCCTTATACTGCCACCTCCCCTCCCAAAGTAAATAATACAGTCGGTATATAAATCTTTCCATTAAACTATCGGAGCTCAGAAACAGCCTGACTCACAGACTTCATCAGAAGCAGTGTGTGTACGGTTAAGGATGGAAAAAAAAACCAAAAAAAAAAAAAAAAAAAAAAAAACCCGCACCGTATATTCGCCTTTAAAGAAATACTGCCTATTTTTTCCTTTATTTGCATTTTACCGATACAGCTATTATCATTTCAAAGAAAAGCATTTAAAAAACATTATCAAGCCGAAAGAGATATACCCCACCCCCTTTTCCTTTTGGAAAATGGAGCTTAAGCGAAAATGTGCAGAATAGCCTGGTATTTCCCTTACAGGAGTGGGGAAGAAGACCGACTAGGAGCTCCAAAGTTAAACCCGCCCCGTGAACCACCCCAGTGCGGACTTACGTTTGGAATTTCTCTCGATTTTCCTTTTTTTTTTTTCCCCCCCTGAAATGCCTTTTTACAACCAGAAACAAAGTTATTTGACCAGGGAAGCAGTTCAAGGCTCCAGCTCTGAAACACTGTAACAATTCAACTAGATTTCGGTTCTCTGCTGGGGGGTGGGGTGGGGAGGAGGTAGTTTCACGTCAGACCCATAACAAAGCATAGATAAGCCAGAAATGTGTACACTTTTCCACAATTAACCGTACTGGATTGGTGGCGGGATCGTCCAAGAGTCCCCAGCAAAGCCTTTGCCAGGGTCCTGTTCACCACAGGTCAGAATTCCAGGGAGCAGATTGCTTCCTTCTGCAGCAAAGAAAAGAAAATGTCAAACGCCCAAGGTGCTTCCAGAGGTTTTACGTAATAACAATGAAAAGAAAGTGCTGATGTACGATGCAGACTGTTTCAGTGGTTTGTGATGCTTTGGGTTGGTAGTTTAGGTGAATCTTCCACAACTCCCAGTTTTTCCATCAAAGTCAAGCATCTGCTTTAACAAATCACTTTGGATGAAAATCAATGTGGTTTAACCTCTTCTTAGTCAAATTAAGGCATATTTTGGTGTCATTTTCAAGGATATCCAAAATATTGCCAAATGAGAGCAAGGGTCCTCCCAGTCGCATTACCACGATCCCAAGGCGGCTCGTTGGCTGCTTTGCAAAATTCGGCAAAATCTTCTTAACTGTTCGGTCTTTGCAACTACAACATAAATGCAACCCAGGCATTTATGTGTTTCCTTGTTCCTCCAAAAATAGACACATCCGCGTGATTAAAAGAATAAACGGATATTTCTGAGCCTGCAAGAAAAAAAATTATACAATAATTTCTTTCTTCACATTCAAAAGTTCCAGCTTCCTCTGCTCTGGTCTGGCTGGCACGAGCAGGTATGGCCCAAAAAAGAAAACAGAAAGATAAAAACAGAGGAATCAGACATACAAAAAGGTAGTTTGCTTGACAAGATGAAATCTCGGCCATAATTCCCCACCCCCACTCTCATCTCCTTTGTAATTTCCCAGGAATTTTGAAGAGAATTGGGAATTTCAAGAAGTGCATCCGGAAATTAAGGAAGTCTATTTAAGACAGTCTGTAACTCAGGAGGTTGGGATTTGAAAAGTCAGCCCCTGAACTACTGTTGCACTCAGCACAGATGTAATCGCCGCTCTTCAACTTAATCAATGTGTGTACAAACCGCGATGTCTAGTTCTTGCCTTTGAAATCTAAGGCTAGCATTTCCATCCAAGAAATCAGAGCTACAGCAAATTACATTTTTGTCCCTTGAATGAAAGAAGGATCATTGAATGGATCTCGTGATATTTCAGGCTTTAAACGTAACCGAGAGGCAGCAATGAACAATGCCTCGTCACAGCTAATACCATCCACCGAGTTGGCTTTCTTTTGCATCTGGATCTATTACACCGCGTTTTTCTCTTTCACTTTCACAAGAGGCAAAATGCACAAGGTTTAAGCAGAAAGCGAAGTTTTCAGGAAAAGCAGATGCTCGTGTTTGTTTCTAAAAGTAGAATGACCAGAGTCTTTCTATTGCCAGCAACAATAATGTCGTTTTAAAATTCCTTCTGATGCACTTATATAGTACTGCCAGCCCTCTCCCTCCCACCCCCACCCCCGCCCATTCCCCTCCCCCAGCTTTAAGATTTAGACCAAAGAGTCAGCCAAGAAATAGTAAACTCAGAAAAAGCCTTTGAGAAGACAGTACAAAAGGTTGGCTAGAGCATCTTTTTTTTTTTTTTTTTCCAGGTAGTTTTAGTTGTTCTCCATTCCTGTTTAGAATTTCTCTCTCTCTCTCTTTCCCCTCCCCCAGTCCTCCTACACATAGCAACATGATTTAGTAGCCATTTCAAAACTACCTTCTTTTCCTTTCTCTTCCTCTCTTTCCACCTTTAAAATTATTGGCAATATAGGTAGTTTTGAAAACTAGCAGCTTATTAAGTTTTTTTTTGTTTGTTTTTTTTGTTTAACTAAGGGCAAATCTGTTGGGTGAAATAGAGAAAAATAAAGGCTAGGGGATTTGACTTTGTGCAAGTATCTATATGTACACTCAGATACCTTTACACTTACACATTTTTAATACTACTATTACACATCTTTCTTCTTAATACATTCTTTTGTTCCTTTAACTTCCCCATCCTTGTGTGTATGTGTGTGTTAGGCTCCAGCACTCTTGCTCGAGTGAGTGCATACGCACACGCACACATACACACACAAACACAGAATGTGACAGACAGCTTTCTTGTGGCCATCAGCACACGTTGCATATCCAGGGTCTTCTCCAGGCACATTGGGGGTCGATCCCGATAAAAAGATCTAGCAGAGGCCCCTGAGTGCTCACACATGAAAGGCAGGGGACTTTAAGATGGATTTGCATGCACACCGGGGATTTCGATCAATAGCTACCAACATTTATGGCTTAGATTATTAATGCGAAAGCTGGCCAAAAGAATGGGGATGAAAAATTAAAGGTGTCTGTTATCAATTATGCTTAAAGTTATGCAATAATTTACTTACTTTGCCTGATGTGCAGATCCAGAGTATAAAGTACTATTCTTCAAAAGCCAGGGGGTTTCTTTGATAAATTTGTTGACCATGTCAGCTGCCTCTACAATCAAAGATGAACCCAATTCAGATAACGGACTGTATTCAAATTCTTTTTAAGAAAAGATGTATCAACTTCTATGTTTTTCAAATGCATGTACATATGTGGATAGATATGTCCAAATTAACATTTATATCTATATCCTTCTCTGTGGGTCCAGGGAATTACTGTGAATTTAGGCACATGTATAATATGCATTGAGTTTAATTAAATGTGATTATTTACTCAGTGAGGAATGCCTAATCTACACACTATTGTAAAAAGTGCTTTAGCTTTGAAAACAAAGCTGCTTGCAAAAGGAAAATCCTCTTTAGCAAATACAGATTGAAATATATTCCTAATGTTCACTTACTTCTGCATTTATTGTAAAAAATCAGCACTTTCAGTTTTTAAAGTGAAGGGCCATGAAAATATGAACATATTTGTCTTTACTTATCCCATATGAATGTGCTAGATTTACCTTCAGATGCTCTATTTTGATTTATTTTCACTGTATTTTATGTTTAAATACCATTGCAATTCAGTCTGACCTCTTTCCTCTGGAGCGAAGTAATGCACACGGCATTTACAGTCTTTTAAATGGTTAGCTGGAAAATGCAATAGCAATTTGCAGGAGTAGTTTACTAATGGGGAAAGTTCTTTTGAAAACCTGAAGGAAAACCTAAGAGTACTTTTGCATTTCTACACTACAACTGTCATATAATTAAAGTATTGAAGAGCATTAAAATAATCCTTTTCCTTCCAAGCTTTCACCCATACATACATAATTTAAATGAGGATCACCGCTCCCCCCCCACCCCCCCCCCCCCCCCCCGCAACTCTTCACCATATACATTTGTTTTAGTGATTGCTGGGCACATTTTGTTCAAAGTGAATTCAGACAGAAAAGAGTAAGGAACATCACAAAGGCCTCAACAATGTAAGTATGCTGGTTAAAAGAATAAAAGAAGCCCCTTGTGCTGTTAACTAAAAGTAACTATAATATTCACAAGATAAAAGTTTAAAATAATCATAAAGTCTCATACGGCTCAATTAGTTGAGGATATAAGACAATAAAATCTTAACAGTTCTTTAGCTAAGTTTGTCTAATATCACATCTTCTCTGCTTTTTGGGACGGGAAAATGGGAATGGAGGAGTAGAAAATGGCTAAATTGAGAAACAAATGATAACTTAGTATATTTCCCTTAATTTTTTTTCTTTCTGGTTCATTTAAACAAATCAGGGTAAGTTTCCAAAAGGGCCCATCCCTCTGTTCTTAGGCATTTAAAAACGCTGTCTTTAACAGAAGTTTGGGACACAGGGTATATGCCATGTTGTCTACTGACCCATAATCAAAATGCAGTGACCTTCTACCCTTTTTTTGCCCCCTGACCCATCTTGAATTCAATGCAGCCTTTATAAATTTGCAAATCCTTGGAGGTAAAGGGGTTTTTGTGAGGCTTTGTTCTGAAAAAGCCCTAAGAGTGTGCTCTCTAAATTAGACAAAGGTAAAGCAACAAATCCTAGTGGATGAGACTTTACACAGGTGAGCAATAGGCACCTCCAGATAACATATATTGCAAGCTAAAAACCAGTTATATACATAGGAGACAAGGAGGTTATGGATTGCATCAAATTAGAGAGAGGTACAAATCACTTTCATGATGTAAGAAACAGGCTACAATCTTCCTGCTCTTCTCATCTCAAGGGCTGTGGGGGACCCTAGTGACCAAGGAAGGAATGGGGAGGGTGGGGGGAAGGGGACAGGGAGGAAAAGAAAGAAAGGAGTGAGACTTGATCTGAATCTGCAAGCACATTCCCTTATCTTTCCTGCTATCAGCCAGTTTAAAGGACACCATAATTATGATGGTGATAAAACAATGCCTGCTTATGTGTGCTGAATAAATAAAGAATGTTTACAGCTCAAGAATCTTTTAATTCCAATTAAATGCTATCAAAGAAAAGCCACTTTTCCTACTGCAACCGCCTTTCCCCCCAATTATCTTGTTTTGTTGCAATATTTTCCTATGAGACACAAGGGCCTTTCACAATTGATCCTGAATGCAAAAGAAAAAAAATCAGAGAAAGTAGAGTTTGACCTTCAGATATTAAATAATACACAAATACCCAGAACCACAATTTGTTAGGGTTGCCCAAGTTTTTGTTTATTTTACACAAGGGCCAAACATGTAGAGACTGAAGTGGTGACACCAAGCATTGAGGCCTACCTATGGGCTGCTCAGCCATACTGAAATCCTGAGCCACCACGAGGGGAGAGAGGAGAGACAAGACATGAGGAGCCTGATGGTCTCTGGAAAGGGAATCCTCTTCTGGTTCTGTTCCCCTGGCTTCAGCCCAAATCCTTCTAGGAGCACTGGAGCCAATCACTGTCCTTCACTGCTGCAGCTACTGGGAACCTACAAAAAAGCGGGAGATTAAAAAAAATAAAATAAAATAAAAATAAACAAAAAAATCACAACTTCGAATTTATGGATATACAAGTATCATTTCATATTCATGACATCAGCAAATCACATCATAATCAGATTTGAGCAAGGTTTGGGCACTAAGGCCCAAAAGGCTGGACACTCAACACTGACAGTATCACATATTAACCAGAAAATTCGCTTTTTTATTATGGAATCATAGGGTGAAAATTAAGTCTTTTAACTTTGAAAAGCTTACTTTTCACTTCTGAGGCCAATTTTTACACTAATAAATTTCAAGTAAACGTCTCCTTGAAAGTTGTTCCACAACATTTTAATTCAAACTTCTACTTCCTTTCTCAGTTGGGGTAGTGTTTTGCTTGTTTAAAAAAAAACACATGGCACAACAAACGTTAGGGAAAACGCACTCATTCCGTTAAATGCCGATACAAACCTGCCTTTTACTCCATCTGTCTAAGTAGCGCATTGCTAAGTATAAAGTTAAAAAAATACTTTTCTCAAAGACATATCTATTATTTACTGGCAAATACTGTTTGGTAATGTGGTGCAAAAATACAACGGTAAAAAATCTCGGGATATTTGTAAGTTTTCTGGAGAGTTGCAGGCCCCTTTCCTTTTGAAAGTTTAGAGCTCCAATATCCTCAATTCTACTGGCAGAATTAGGATGGACTTAGAGGGTCCTAAACGTGACCGATTCACTAAGGCGGGGGGGGGGGGGGGGGGGGGCTACAGCTTGCAGCAACGTGCTCGGCAACTTAATCCTACGCTAAAAGAGGGCAGAGAGCGAAAAAGAATGGAATACAAACTCTCCCGACATCCATAGTTACTTTCAAGGTGGATTGTGTATTTTAAGGCTGATGGGAACGTCTGGTTTTTGGAGCAAAAAGAAGAGAAGGTAAGTGTTTGTCCTTGTATCCACCAGTTCGTAGAGAAACAATGAAAGAACAAAGGGAACCACTTCCCCATCTGAACATTTTCTGTATCTCCCTCTGTTTCAAGCCAAAAAGCTTGGGAAGGGATGCGCTTTACTCTACCTTAAGTAGTGGTTGCTGGCTTGTTGAACTAAGAATGAGAAAAAAGTTGAGAGGCAGATATAGACTAAATAACAATAAAAAAGGCTTGCTGTGGCGGATCTCCACCGCGCCAGTCTCAGCAACTTGCAGCAGAAGTTGCTCAATGCACGGAGGCAAAGCCCAAGGAATACCCTTTGCACACCAGATTTCGAACTCAGTCATTTAAATAGTCTTTCTTGCTGTTTGAAGGGGTTTCTGCGCACAAAATGTGTAGGTAGTGGCTATGGGAGAGATGTACTATCTAGGTCGAAAAATGAGCTTATGGCTATCTGGAAAAGAATTTTTAAAAAGGAAAGGGGATTCAAGTATCACGTTACTGTTTGCTAATAGAAGACATGGCAGCTCTGGCTGGGAAAGGAGACGGATTCGTACTGAAATGCATTTGCTTTGGGGTACGCTGGTTATCCGCGTTCTGGCTTTGTGGGTCTGCGTGGCTGAATAAGTGACCAAGTGCCTTCGGCATTATATAAATGGATCGATGTGTGGGAGAGTCCCCAAAGCCGTCGAGCACGTGAAACGCGATTTTTTACTGCCCTCCAAGCGGCGACCAAGCCCCGCTCCACCCCAGCCCACCTCAAAATCCGTATATTACCTGCCCTGTTACAGTGACACATGTTTATGTTTATAGCCCTGGTTTGTAGTAGTGTCAAGAGCCGCAGCAAGAGGAGGGGGAGGAGAGAGGAGAGGGAGGAGTAAATTCAACCACCCCCACTTGTTGTTAAAGCAAATTTACTGCGTTATTGCAAGCTCGGGACGGGGGGCTGGGATGAGAGTTGAGAGGAAGGGTTGAGTTGGGAAGTGTGTTGGCGGTGGAAGAGGGGGTGGGGTTAGGAGATCCGCAATGGAGCTCCTCTTCCCAGCAGCCCAGGAAAAGCAGCTCGGTCAATAGGGG